TTCCTCAACCAAGGTTGTAATAATTTCTCCATCACCATGCTGAAAGGAACGCTGTGTGCAAATGTTGCCAATCTGAATAAGCTGAAGGAGGCTAGCTAGGATTTTAGCTGATGTTGATGCAGGGTCTCCACCTTTGAAATGAGGTATCCAAGCTAGTACAATAAAGACTTTGTATAATGAATGCCATTCAGCAGCTTTGGGAGTGCCTGCGCTAGCCATTCCAAAGTTCTTCTGAGGTCGAGTGAGCCACGAAGGGCCTTTGGCATGCTTGATACAGCGTTGAAGTAAATCAAGTTCATAAGAAGTGATCTCGGGGATGATGGCTGGAGGTGGGGGTGTGGGTGATCGAGAGTGGTCCAATCCATTGTGATTCTTCTTTTTACCTCTAATTGTATGGTCTGATCCAGCTGAAGATGCCATATCCCGATGGAGATTAGAGGATACAGCTGATCGGGTATCATAAGAATGGCGGGAGGGTGGCTGGGGAGGAGGCATACCGCTTGTGGAAGCTGCATCATCAGATCCAGGTGGACTAGGTGATGTCGGTCGAGGGAGCTGCACATCATATTGCCGATTACTGAATTCCATTTTTTCTTGTTCAACTTCAAGAGCCTTGCCAGCTGCCGGTACTTGGATGTATTGGGTTGAAAAATCTTTGTATAGACCAAGGAAGATGTTGTGCATGATGTCAACAGAAAAAAATTCAACAGCTTGCCAGTATGGCAGCTCATGAAGGATACTATATCGTACACCTGTTGTCTTTGCCAGTTTAGCTTGCTCACTTGCAGTTTGAGATTGTTCCCATTCCACTGCTTGCACCTTGACACCCTCAGAAGTGCAGAGCTCTGCCTTTGGTGCTGGAGATTGAGAGTGATAGAGATTACGATTGATCAGACAGAGAGAGCAAAAACATGTTGACGAGTGTGAAGTTCCTCCGGTGACCTTCTTCATTGCTGGAACGTCCCCATGAATAGGCCATAGTGCAGCACGAATGATGCGTCCTTTGGGATACTTGGATGTTGATGTAAAGGTGATGCTGTCCCAGAAATCCGACATTTCAGTGACTAGTGGTTTGAGAAAATGATTCATTTCCGACAGGGATGGTTCCGATGGCCCTGGCATGATACCATAAATGCAGATGTTCTCTTTTTTGTATCGTATTGTTGGAGGTAGGTTGAAACATGTGAGGAGCATGACACCAACTGAAGTCTTCGTTTCTGCATTCTTGCCACCAGGATTGTCAGCCCTGAGTACTAAACCAGCGTACCAATGGGCGACAAATATATTAAAAAACCTTAAAAACAGCAATTACAACTCAAGGCTCAGTTTCAAGAGTCAAGTTACATATGAATTGGCATATGTAACATGTGCAAAACTTACATCAAAGAGTGTGTACGTACACAACTTTCATGTGAACCAAAGCTACATATATTTCACAGACGTAACACATATGTAACAAGTGAAATATACTTATAACCCAATAATAACCGTGTTACTGTAATTAACCTAACCTTAGAACCACAATTTGTGCGCACTTGTAGTCCAAGGATTCTCAAGGTTCAGACTATATAAACCCTGGAGATCCCACCAGTTTTGAATCATCACATTATCATTCAACAACCATTACAAATTGCTCACTTCATCTTCCTAGAACTTTTAAAACTTTGTTTAACATCTACAAACTTTAAAAGCTTGATTCTACGAACCTTGAAACCTCAACCTTGTGTCTTGTTGACTATATTGTGTGCGCATCAACCCTTGTTTCTGTCTGATTAGATTCCTTAATCAGTAGTTTTCGTAATATCCATACGGTGGAATTACGTATAAGGAAGTAGTCCTTGAGTGCTGCTTATATCAGATTTGGGATTCATCTGATATAAGAAACTCTTAATCTATGGGGAAATCTCTATTAGTCAGAGTGTAAAGTTCCCGGTGTTATAAAAGATTTTAACACCACCTTCTTTGACCTTTCTTTGAATAAGAAGAGGATCAAATTAGGATTGAGAACTGCGCGTCAGTTGCTCTTATTTTTAATTATTGCAAGGACAATAATTAACCCAAAATCCCTGGGCAAAATCCTTTGTTTAAAGGTCAACTAACTGGAGTCTTTACTTGTTTATTCCAAGTAAAGCTCCTACGCCCACGTCTTTACCCGCTCAAACTCGTGGATACTAATCCCCACGAGTCTAGTAGAAGTTTGTTTAAACTTCTATCCTCTTTTTATTGAATCTACTAGCCCAACAGACGCTAGTAGGCTCACAAGAATTGAACCAATCACACCATAATCCAAATACAAGGTGACCAGATTTTGATGTGAAGATGTACCTGTCTTTCTGGAAGGTTTTCCACAATGTACCATCCCATATATCCTCCATTCTATCATTGGCAGGTTGCTGACGATTGAGGTGTGCATCAATGCCTTCTTCAAAGTAGTGATACTGACGCATCTTTCCAAGCCAAGAACGTAGCGACTGATAAAAGAAGAGCCTGATTGGTTTCTGAACTGTGCCGGAAGATTTCTCATAGAGGGGAGATTCACACAGTTCTCGGCCAAGAGTAGTTGAAGCTTTGGTAGTGAATCGTGGGACAGCACAGAGTGGAACAGGTGATGCATTGAGCGGTAAAGGTGCTTGAATGGAAGACAAAGCACAGCAGAATGGGCAACACGTTTGCAATTGTACACACAGTTCAAGTTTGAGAGTCTTTAAGAGGGTCGGAAGGCCAAGAGGGACCTCTTTCCAAACTTCGGTGTGGGTTGTCGGATCCTGCATGAGCTTTTGTTCCTTGACACTCTCTCTAGCTTTTGCAAGACTTTTTTGACAAGCTTTGACCCCAACATTATGAAAAAGGTGTTCCTTGGCCACTTTGAACATTTCACGCATGCATAGCGGATCCTGCAAAAATCGACGTGGGGCGGATGTTGTGATTTGTGTGTGACCGTGATCTTGTCGTGGAGCTTTGGGCTGGCGAGGGCCCAACAGTACATCGTCATCTTCGGTGTCTCTAGCCCGTTTGTTGGTGCGTATAGGTGTAGCAGCTCCAATCGGTGGCAGCTCATGCTGCAATACTGCACGACTGGTGGAAGCAACTGGAATATTGGCACCTGTGGTCTGCGAAATGTAACAGTTATGTCAGCTGATGTCATATGATTGATGGAAGACTGATGGGGAAACATACAGTGGAAATGAATGACTGAGCTAAACTAGGCAGTTGACGTTGTGGCGCAGGATTGTTGCTAGTAGAAAGAGGTGTGGAAGAGCTAGTCGCAAGCAGTCTGTTGATTTCCTCAAGGTGCTTTGGATATCTTGTTCGGCTGAACAATCGGCCTTGATGGACTTTTCCCA